TGCATCGGAAGCGACGCGTACAATCGATCCGAGTTATTCTACTGCTCGCGGTTTATTGCGTCGTATACCTGTTTTTATGATTTCGTAATTGTGATCAATTTCCTTTCTTTTCCATGCGCGTGTAGCGCAGTGTCTTTTAATATCGCGGCGAAACGATCGCGCGCGTCCCTTCTTGCTTGTCTATAAATAACTCGGAAGGATATTAACAGCATTCTGTCTAAAAATCGGTCACGTTTAAGGGTAAGATGAACGATTCTCCACTTGAAATAGATCGCCGACTGATGCGACCCGTATAAACTTCTTGCGGATCCCCTTCTCTCGAGGGGAGCCGTTCGAAACCTCGAAGGTAAGAAATATGGCTATAGGATGTTTCCTTCATTTCCGACGATTCTTTCACTCCGCTCGCGAATAGACAGACATCTCTTACGTTTTTCGAATTTCCACCTGCGTCGGGATAAAAAAAGATTTATCCCCGCAGCTTCCACAACTTCCTTCGTGATTCTAAATATAAACTTCCGACGCAACTTAAAAGAATCTGCGAAATGAAAAAATCGCTCCTCCATTCCGTCGGCGAGATTCATCATTCGGTCGTCGTTGAAACTAGTTTCACACGGAATACAACGGACGGTGTTCAATTTGTAAGATTTCACAATTACGAAGATAAACCGCGCCGACAGAAAAACAATCCTCGCCGGGCAACGCTTCTAACGTTTACGGCTTAATTGTAGGCTCGTACAAGACGACCGTAATAATGATCACAATCAGCGGCCGGACACAGATTGTTTATCGCGCCGGTGTTCCGACAAATATTCCGACCGTTCGTCCCTTATCGGCGCCCCGATTAAAAGTTCTCGTTCCGTCTCTGAATCGTTCCTCGTTTTTACGATTACCGGCGTGTCCGAGGTGTTCGCAGGGTTTCTCGGCGATGACGCAGTTGCAGAGGGAGAATAACGAACCCGATCCTGCGGAGCGAAACGAGGTGCTTCTGGTCCGTGTTCAGATACCGTGTACAGAAGTAAACAAGGGTTGGCGATTCGAAACCCGCGCCGGTAGCTACCCTTAGATAAATTTTACGAGTCGCATAAACCGTCGTTGGAACTACCGTCAAGGTCATAACGAGCTTTAATAGCTCATAAGTAAGGCATATATCCTGAGGGTTGTTAGGCGACGCAAAGATAGGGCGCAAATGTTATTTAGAGGAGAGATAAGTGAGTTTCCGAGCCAGGAAGAGCGAAAACTTCGTTCCCCGGGGATGCGTTGATATTCAGCGTCCGGCCACCGGATTGAATAAATCCGGAAGCCGGAATCGAAACTTCCCTCGAACGAGATCATCCCCTGAGAAGTAAGAAAGGAGCAGCGAATTTTGAAGCGGGAAGTTTGCTGGATAAAGAATGCTTCGTGCTGCAGGCATCCAGGTATCGAGCATTCCGCGAGACTCGAATGGCAATCGCAGCCGCGTTTAAGACTCACCGGGTGGAATTAAGCTTCCTCGGGAAAATGAATGGCTCCGCGGCAGGATGCGATCGATTCTGTTGGTTCGGCGAAGTGGGGTCCACTGGAGAATGAAACAACCGAGACTGACTCAACTGCTCTGAATCGCTGCCGAAGGTAAGGGGTTTAAGTTAACTGGAACTAATCAATCTTCTTTGGTTGAATGTAAGCAACTTCTGACTATTTCTCCTGATCTGGATTGATTTAGAAAAGTTAGGTCCGCATCTTTTAATAATTTCAATGTTGCAATTGAAAAATTGTTCGAAGTAGAAAATTGATTATTGATTTTTAAATTGCTCGCATTACGAAAGTGATAAATTGTTCATAGTCTACTGTCGTTCCTACAGATTAAAAATTAATACAGATTAAATTATATTGTTGACTCTCAATTCGAAATAAATGAATTTTCGATTTTATGCAATTCTTTGAAACGAATAAGACGATATATTCGCATTATGCCGGTGTAATTGTTACGATTAAAAGGAAAGTGAACGAAGACCAAATGGAAAGCTAATTTTGATTTATCGCATTAAATGAACTCGCACGTGAGTCAAATGTATAAGATTTCACTGCGCGGTTATAATCAACTGCCCCTTTTCGGAGCGCCAATTTTTAACGCTCGCATTAAATTCAAAGGTCCCGCAGAAATACGACGGTTCGAAAAACGAATGGTGGCTGGGAAGACATTATCCGCTTGATGGATACGAATTCCTCGTGGCTCGACGATACAGCGGGGGAATGAAGACGCGGCGCGCGCGCGCGCGTCAGAGAGGACAGTCGCATCTGTCGGCGATGTCACTTGTCATAAATTTGCGCGGGCCACGTCATCTAAATGATCATAACTAACTCGGCAGCCTGGACTTTAACAGCTTCCTGTTTTATACGCGAAATGATTTACTTTGGTATTAATTCAGTGCAGGCTGCGCGAGTCACGGTCCAGTGCTGTCAGTCGCAACAAAACCTATATTTTAAAGGGATTCTGCTTTAATTAAAAATTATTCATTGCCCTGATGATTAAATGACACCGATTCGCGCGACGCCATTTAGATAGCAATGACCTGTTTGTCAATTGATATTTTCATCATAATCCGACCTTGCTCGAAAGTAAATAAATATTTCTTAGATAATTTCCAAAAAATTGCACATTGCAACGTATAACGAGATAATAACTGTAACCAAGAATTCAACTTACATTTTACTTTGAACCTCCAAAAACTTTGAATGGAAAGAAGTAAATTCTTACATTTCTAACAGCTATGAAGAATTAAGATTAGAAATGAACATACTTTTAAGTTTTTGCTGCTTTCAATGAAATAATATAATTTCATAAAATTCGAAATTTTGTCATTGCATGGCTAGGTGCTGTTAAAGATAAGTTCTTCGAACAACGTATTTTGAGAATATGGGGATCACGATAGAATAAAATGCAAGAGCAAAGCAAATTGAAACACGAACGATCGTTGAATTCGTTGTTCCTGGTTAATGAGTTCAGTAGAACTCGAACGGAGCCGTGCCAGAGCCAATTCACGTCCATTTGGTAGAGAGGAAGAATTAAGAACAGGATTTTAAGCTGAACGCGCGTGTACATCGGCGAGGCGGCAGCTATAAGAGACTCATTTCACCGATACGTTATCCGCGCAATCCGTTCCACTTCCGTAACTTATTATTATCTGGAACTGGGTCGATCTTGATGCGTCTCGTGCACGTAGACTCAGTTACTTCATTAACCCTTTTAGGCTCACTGCTCGCGCTCGCCACGCGCGTTCCCTGCGCATATTCTGTTTGGCACACGCAAAAACGCAAGAACGTGGAAGAAGAATAATTTAAAGAGTGCTCCAATGGAAGCTATTGAAAAGAACGTCCGACGTGGACGTAGAAAATCGCAGTAATAATAACAATACCCTCATCGTTTGAAATTATCACGAATCCTATTTATCTGCACGTAACAAAAATTACTAGTTCAATTTTCCCACAATTTCTAATCGGTCATCGCTCGTTGCCAGTAAAACGTGCAACATTTCTCTCGCAATTCTCTGTTATCAAACATTAGTCACGCAAAACTCAACAGCGTTTCCGGCGTACGAATATTCCGCGTCGTTCGAGGTGAATTTGAATCCCAAGGAATCTCATATTTTACGTCCGGCGATATTCGTCAAGCGAAGCCATATTTTTGGAACAAAGTGCGCCAAAATACCGCCAGCTTTTACGATCACGATGACACGAGGACCCATTAAACCTGATAATTGCGGCGCGGCGGCGTATTCGCGGCGGAGATTTTACAATATCCCGATATTCGAGGTTTTTATGAAGGATTAGAACGACACGGGGGAAACGCGTACCGGTGGCGAAGAGTCGGGTGACGGTACAGCTGACACCGGCGGGGCGATAATATCGTCGCGAGCAATCTTCTCGAGAGAGCGCATTTTTACGACTTTCCTTTCCTTTCCTAAAAATCCAGGTCGCTCGATGACGGAACCGGGAGGAGATTGTGTCTTCCTGACGCTTTTGGTCTTCCTCTCGTTTCATACAGCAACAGGACGCATTCCTTTCGTAACTCATTGTCTTTCTCGACTCCTTAAAGTCAGTCCAGACTGGGAGGCTTTGTCTGTAAACTGTCTAGACACGTCGTCTATGGGTAGTAGAACGACTTCCATGGATGATATGTGCAGACAGTCTATAAATAATATCACCTGTCCACATCGAATCAATGTCTACTGCTTTTCATTGCAGTGGAAAGAATACTCTACGATCAGTATACTACGCATATCAATTAATTACCATGTGACTATATTTACAAATACCTTATTACCACGTTAACGAATCGATATTCATCAAATTTCGAAACGGAAACTGAAAAGTCAGATTTTTCACAGCGATTGCTCTATTAAGCTTCTTACGTCTTACGGACCCAAGAAAGTTTACTCAATACGTTATTGAGGAAATTAATTCTTTGATCTATGCAAAAAGTTATGTCACCTGAATTAATGCTGAAAATCTGTGTTACGAAACGGCGTATCTCCTGTTCTGACCAATTATAGCGTTCAATGAAAAAAGGTAGTTGACGTAAACATTCATGAAGTAAATAGAGTGATTATCTCAAATACTTCTCTCGGTCACGTTTAAGTTATAGATTTGTTTATATTTATTGTCAGGTGTTCTTTTCCTATCAACGTATAATACGTTGACCGTTCACGAACACGTGTCCGCGGACGATTTCTCTCAGTCTGGACTAGCCTCAACGGCGTTCCCCACGAACTGATGCTGTGGCAGTCACCTTGGGCGAGCCACGTGTTCTGAGGGCAGGTCAGTGTTTGCGAGCACCGCAGGGTCGCGAAGATTGATCGTCCGTATCCAGACCGGATTGATTTCCAGAATAGATTCCGCGTTTGTTCTGCTCGCGCGTTATTCCACTACCTCCCGCTCCTCCTCCCCTTTTCTCTCGCGCACACCTTGATCGATGCCCGTTATTTCCATTTGATTTCAATGCCGGTACACCATAGCACCTTTATCTTCCTTCGCAGTACAACGTGTTTCGAGTCTTTCTTCTTTCCTTCTTTTTTTCTTTTTCGATGTTGCGTGGACACGAAGGGGATCTCTCGGTGATATGGGTACGGATAAATTGATACTCGCGAGGTAGGCAAGGGTGAACGGAAAGATGGAAAATGTATATATGGATTTATGGTTTTTTTCTGTGTTTTCTTAGAGCTTTTAGTGTGGGATTTTATGATAAAGTATGGACAAAGTTCCTTTCTGAATGATTTCTTACAAGAGTTACCTTGTGTTTGATCATTTCTAAGTAGTAAAAATTCATAATCGAAGAACGTTATTTCTTTTGTAAATTGAATAATCTTGAAATGAGTTGCAAAATCTTCGTGACAAGTTGTAACCGGTATAACAAAGCAAAGAATCGACAGTATAATAAATAAAATGAAAAATGAAGTATGAATATTAACTGTAAAATGTAAGGAAAACATAATTATATGAAGTAGCAAACATTATGAGAAAAACGTGAATCCACGACATTTCAACAAATATTACCACCATTTCGCTTTTACGACCCGAATGCGAGCAACTCCGTCAACATCTTCCGCAGTCCACTCCTACCAAATCAATCTCTCTTCAAATCTTTCACTCATAAAAATGTAACTTCTCCCACTTCGCCACTGGCCCATCATTCTTAACTACCAGCGCCAATGTGTGCTCCTATAACATTGTTGAACCCAGCATCATCCTTTCTCAGGAGATTCGTGGGGCAGAGCATAAAGATCCAAGATAATGATCAACGAATGTCAGCCAAACATCGTCGCGCGACACGCTCGGGCCTGAAGCAACGGATTTTATTGCGCGCGTTTTACCGCCGCAAATTTTATTGCCGCGAAAATCGAACTTCGAAAACAGATCGGTGGTTCGTCCGCACTGCCATGGACACATTTCACCGAAACGAAGAAGCAAGGTTGTTTTATACTGTCCAGTTGGACACGGAACGGTTCTGTTCAGATGAAAACATTTATACCCTGTACAGGCGAACGACTTTTTACCGGCGATGGTACTTTCTGTCATTGTAGCATAACACTGGAGTTTAACGTCGACAACGTTGCAATAAAGAATGTGAAAAAGATGATAGAGAATAATGAAAAATAGTCGTAACGCCGACAGAAGATCATTTATCTGCATCAACACTTCACATATTGGTTGTCACTCATCTGTCAACTGACTTTGTTCCATTTATCGACATAATTCGCCTACAGGAATTAATTTTTAAACATATTTTGCAGAAATTACATGTTTTAAGTACTTTTTACAAATTTATTATCGTCATTCAAATGTAACTAACGACGCCTCTCGAAAAAATATTCAATGCGGGGCTATGTCATGCAGGTGTGAATGACATGGCAGTCAATGTATTAATTGTCCATTTAAACACGTAGCTTAAGGATACATTTACGATAATGTTGCGATACTCAATAAAAAGTAGCGATGAGAACGAAGGGGAGAAGAGCATGATTTTGCTTTGTAATAAAATGTTTTACGTTCTAGTGGCGTACGAAGCATGTAGTAGTTACAATGTAATATACAACATTTAGGTTTACAGCATACTTTAAATCTATAGCATTCATAAATGATTATCCCTTTGCACGCGAAAGGTTGTCACTAAAAATATTCGACATTTGAGATACAGACGACATTCTGTGAAGATAACTAATGAGAAAACATCCATAAATTAGGAAACAAAAGTATTTGAATGTTTTACATACTGATACAAAGCTTAATATTATATATAACAGTATAATTTTGCTGTATCAAATCATACGGTGACTGAGAGTCACCTCTGGACTTCAAAGGGTTAAATCAATTCACACGTGCGACAATAGTATTTGTCCGCTGCGCGTTTAAAACCATGAAAAATGGCAGCCGCCTAGACAGTGTTAAAAATCGTTTACCCAAACGGAACGGTGCCCTGTCTGGCC